ATTACATCAGAACAAGATTAAGCCATACACGGGCCCGCCCCCAGTAGGTTGCAAAGACGAAGTCTATACGGTATCATAAAGAGAGTATCCGTCCGATGGAGTCACGCTGGCCAGCACCGAGGACGGTGCTTTAAAGAGAAGCGGGACTGTGTAATATATAATAGTTTGTTTAAGGGTACTTTTATAGGTGAGAGGCGGGAACGAATCGGGAAAGCGAATCACGTGCGTGAAGCTGGCGAGGAGTTTCCCTCCAACTGATATCTGCTACTCTCTTTATCTGCATCCCATTCCTCATACTTCCTAATAACAATGTTTAATAAATCGTCTGCAACCAAATGTCTCTTGAAGTTTGAGGATCAGGGACCAGAGGGTAGACAGGCAGCTTTTACATGCACCACGGTAACCCCTCTACAGCCGATGCCCACAGGCTTTAAATGGGAGCAAGTAGGTATAGTTAAAATGGGCTTGCTTCCAGTGACTCCGAAAGGGAATTGCTATATTTTAGTGATGGTAAACTATTTTGCGAAGATCAATGAGCTTCAACTGTTATAGGAGCCGGATATTGAGACGGTGGCAATGACATAATTCAATCACTGGGTATGTCAGCATGGCGTCCTACACTCTGAGCATAGCAACAGAGGGTCGAATTTTGGAAGTCACCTCTTCAATGAAAAGAACAAAGCGCGTACTCTTATTAACCTCTTAAAAGCCTTTATCAAAGGAATACAACCGGAGGATTGGGATCCACAGCTAGGACGCGTCTTCCTAGATGCTCACGGGCCGTGATTTGAAGGTTCCTTTCGACATACCTCTCCTCGTAGAAAAATGTCAGTATGCCTAAGTATACCTTGCGACTAAAGTTAAGCCTCAGGCAAGCGATTAATGCCGCGTGGAGACAAATGCAAAAAGTATATGCTAGTCGAAAGAGGTTCTATGGTAGACAGAGTCGGAATGACGTCGTCATTGAGGGAGATCTTGTGCACTTATACAGACCAATTTCTTCACCAGGACTCCATCGGCAATTCTGCCACCCCTGAAGCAAGGCGCCCTACCGAATAATCAAATTCCTATCACCCCCGAACTACCTCATGCGGAATGCCGGGATTTGAACTCAGCATCTGGTGACAAATCATAACAAGATCAAGCCATATGCAGGTCCGCCATTAATTGGTTGAGAAGAGAAGCCATGCGACGGGACTCGACCGACCAGCACCGGGGACAGTGCTAGAAAGAAAAGGAGGCTGTATAATATATGCTACTGCGTATAAGTTGCCTTTGGAGGACAGAGGTGGTTAAGCTATTCGGGCTTAACTCCCGTTCGTGACGAGCGTGAAGAGACATCCTCAGGATGTCATCGGCTGAAAGTTTTATCCATTCTCTCCCATTCACTTTTTCTGAACAAGGTGCCAAATAAGCTTTCCTCAACCAACTTTGTCAAGAGCACTTCGGTTAAGGTACCTGAGGATAGACAAGCAAGTTCTGCACAATGCAGTTTCTGGATGGTATGAAGCATTTAGCGTGTAATTGGGAGCGTTAAAGTATTACACTTAACCCCTGAGCGTCAAATGCTCGTGTAAATTTTGTACACTTATTTCGCCAAAAGCCGTGCTAAGATAGAAATTTTACTAGTCTAAAATAGAACAATTTAATCCGAAAAGTAATAGATGAAAGTATTACAGATTATGCACAGACATCCAGTTTTCACGTATATTAGTTTTGTTGGCATTTACTGCGACTCGCGGAAATTTGAAGCATTATTTCCCTGTTTCATACGAGGTGTTCATGTGCGGGTAGATAGTCATTGACAAGGTCTTTATGTGGCTTCCATGGCATCGCAACGACCCATCTCAGATTTGGACGAATCTAAATCGTTTTTGCTGCGCCTGATGGGTGCCCGAATAACAGTCGAGATAATAGACAGTCGGAAGTTTGTCGGATTGTTGATGTGTACCGACCGAGATGGTAATATTGCTATGCGGGACGTCATTGAACACCCACCACCGAACACTGCTGTTAGAGATGTTTTAACAAGGAAGCTGTTTCTAATAACTATTCGTGGTATACATATTAAGAAGATACTTGTGGATGACACGTTTTTTGTCGCTTGAAAGAGAAATATATTGCCTTTGCCTGAAATTCTGCGTTTTTCATGCTTCTGTTTTGCAATGAAACACTGGTGCTTCTTTAGGCGGAGCAACGAAGTGCCTATAACGTCAAGAGGATTTGTGGTGTCGTTTCATTGTACTGGGTTGTGTCAATCTCGTTGGTTTTCATAAACAAGTGGCTTTTGAGCAATCCCGATGTGCTGGTAGGATATTATTAATTGTCTGCTATTTTAGCTTGATGCTCCTCTCTTCATCACATGGTCCCAATGTCTCGTTACTGTCGTCTTATGCATCATTTTGTCAAAAATCTCAAGCGCCATACCGGAAAAACTTTCCTTTCCAAATATAGATTTCAAGTGGCGCACCGCTTTAAACGTAGATTTTATTATTAACGGATTCGTTTAGATCATGCCATTGAGTTGCGTCTTCTTTACAATGGTTGTTTTTAATAATCTTTGTCTCAAATACTTGGATGTCGCGTTCTACTTCGCTGCTCGTTCTCTCACAACAGTTTTTAACGTGGTATGCATTCATTTAAATGATTTTTGGAATGACAAACAAATAATTGGGGTTACGAGCATTTCTTTATGCGTTCAATTTTTTGTTTTTGAGTTGCACAAATGCACTCTATTATTTCGAGAGTTCTGCTATTCAAAGCACATTACAAGGGAAGCAATATTTTCTTTCTAAAGAGTAATGCTCAAACCCCAATATGTTTCTAAAGTTTGAATTAAATGTTAAATTTAGCAATTGTTTGACATCATTTGCATTGTGACTCCCAGGTGCTTACGTACCTCATCCTACGCAGGAAAACTTGTTACAAGGCGATTGCGTGTTGTGGAGTAATAATTGCTGGATACATAACCAGCGTCTTGCAGGAAAATGAACTGGGTAAATTCCGCTTTCCTGGTTCAACTGATGAGTGCTTGTTCTGTACCCAAAATTCGAGCGCAAAATTGCTGCTTCTTCAATCATGATCATCCTAGTATACTTGCACGAATTCTCTTTACTCAGGCATTCCGTTCTCTAGCCGGCGACAGTCTTAACTCATTAATTATTGTTATTTTTCTTTCGTAAAATTTCTAATAAGCATTTTACGACCTGCCAAGGTTCCACTCGAGAACTATCTACTACACTTCTACTTTAAGCTTTTTAATTTATTTATTATTGCGCCTTTAGTTATTGTTTTTCGACTTGCGCAATCAGAACTCAAATCGGAATGAATTCCATCTGTTATTTCAAGTTCATCAGCCGATTCGAACTGTCACATGAGTGTTACTCCCGATTTCACTAGAAAATTTTCGTCAGTCTGGCGGAGAACTAGAAATCCAGACTTTAAACTCGATGTGTATTCCCAAATTGATTACGCAACCTTGAGCTTGGATAGTAAACATTAGTGTGTTACCAGTCACTCCTTCCTCTCCCCTTGCTCTAGGAACTTTGTCACTCTCGGGTCTTTTCTACGGCCTCTCTGCCAGCTTCTCAGTTTCTCTATTCTCCATACTCACTTCAAAAAACCTACCTCACGTTGGTGGTAGCGTTTGGCGCCTAACATTCTACAACAACCTCAATACTTCGGTTCTGTTCATCGTTGGTATTGTTGTTACTGGAGAATTGACTGAACTGCAGTACCTCCCTCCTGCACTCAGGTGAATTGGTTGGCCATACTTTTACTGAAGAATTTCCTTCATAATTCCCGCGTATGGCGTGCCGTACTTCTGTTAATCAGAATTTGGGGTGAAGTATTAAGAGGCAAAATATTTAAGAAATTTCCTCTCAGTTATGTAGGACTTTTTTTCTGGAGTATGATGCTAATCAGCGGGATCTTCGGATTTGCCATAAGCTACACAACTACATGGCAAATTCAAGTGACAAGTCCGCTGACGCACAATATCTCGGGGACGGCAAAAGCGGCGGTACAAACCATAATCGCAACGGTCATATCACTTCACTTCAAGTCCGTTCTCTGGTGGGTGGGCAATGGTATGGTGGTTGTCGGCTCTATGGCTTATGCTTATGTGCGGCATAAGCTGGCTCTCAAAGAGCAAGAGGAGCAGAGAAAATACCAACCCGTCTCGAATGACGATCGAGAAATCCCCTCTCTCTCGAGAGTGGTTGCCGAAAAAGACGACTCTAGCAGAGAAAGTTAGAAAGGAGTCCCAATTTCTTCATTTTTTTATTTGCCCCTCCGTACATTAATAGGGTTGGACTACTGCACACATTCTTACCCCTTCTTCTTTTTCCTTTATTAATAAATAGATTCCTATCTATGTAGTTCCCCTACCGTCCGAATGCTCCTCCTTTGTTAGCGGTTTAAATAGACTTGGTGATTTCGTTGGACGCCAAACTGACAGCACTTTTCAGGTCCACTGATTAGCCTGGTTTGTCTGATACATTTAATAAAATAATAGTAAACAAAGTCAACATCTGTTAGGATATCCCGGGGAAGGTACGTTCATAGAATGGGGACCAAAAGGCGCGCTCATTCGTGTTCACCGCCTTCCCTTTCAACGAAACACTGAGCCACCGTTCGCCGCAGACAACCTACTAAACTTCAACTAGACAAGGACGTCTGATCAAACTCCGCGTTTGTTAGAAGTTCCTCCCTTCCAGGAGCAAATGAGTGCAAGCTCCCACAAGTCCTTCAATGCCCTTCGACAGTGCTCGTGAGGCAATACTGCCAAATTTCACCACAATAACCCAACCAACCTTGGGTACATAGGATCGTTTCACCATCATCACTGAGATATGACAAAAACCACGGACACCTCCCTTCCATCCTGTCCTTAATCTACGACTAGTTACGTAAGAATCCGGCATCAATGTCAGCAGCAGGACCACCGTGTGTAAGAGCTCACATCACCAGCTAAACAGGTTTGTTAAACGAGGTGTCCGATTTCTTTGACTAAAGACAACGCTTTGGAGATATTTCAATGGTTCAAAACACGAACCACTGAACATTAACCTCCACACTGCTTACGTGGTTAAACTCTTAATCGAAAATTTGATCAAATCAAATGCAAACCTGTTGAAATTACGACGGAAGTGCATCAATTTGGGTCTGCTAGGTGCTAGCCTTCGAGAAGCACATTCCCGGAACTCCCACTCGGCGTGATTAAACGTTTTGCGATTCTTACCTTGATCAAGTGTACATTTCTCAGATCGGACCTTGCATTAAAGTTGCCGGACTATAAAACATGGGACAATAATCAGGGAATTAATGAAAGAGAGGCAAGGATCCAAATGCAACAACACCAGGCGGATGATGTGGAAATTAAACAAAAAAGATGATCTCTGGAATTTGCCCATCTTCAACTGAGGTGCCATTGTTTGTGCATGCAGCATAGGAGAATTGGAAGGTCACTTTGCCTCCGGCAGAGCATTCATGGCTTATCTCTCGTCGCCCACCCGTGCCATAGTAGGAGTCCTGACCCTGGAAAGGGAAAGAGGAACCACTACGCATAACTCAATATCGCAACCGCGGTGAGGAAGAGCTGCTTGCGCTTACCTTGATCGTGGCACAGGCTAGGTAGTTTACATGCGGCGTTAGTGGAATGGGTTCTTGAAATGCAACACGGAAGGTATTTGGCGATCCATCAGAAAGGTAGGTGACGTCATTGCTACCGAGGACCAGACCCGACTCAGGATGAACAATCTATATTTATTTTAAAAAAAAGACGCTTCCTGCAACTCGTTTCAGATTGTACGATGGCAACACAATGCCTCAACTTGTATAACGTACGGTACATGATTGAATCTAACTGCTTGATTTGGTATACTAGCCAACATCTGAGATGAGATCCTTGGTTCTAACACGTTGGTTAGAGAGCAGAAGACTCAACTGTACTAGAGAACGAAGGTTTAGGTAGAAAAGAACTCGACTACGGACGATAGAGCTCCAAACAAGAGTAGAGACCAGATGAACGACTTAAAATTGCCAGTGACACCCCCGACAGAATATACATTTGAAAAACAATCAATATCCCAAAGTGCACGTAAGGAAAGAAGACCTAACAATGAATACGGAGAGCTGCACAATCACTGCTGTATCGGTGCCCGCAAATTCTCCTCGTGCGGAGGGAAATGCCGATTCCCCCATACCAAATGAGAGAAGACGAAAGAGGAAACATCAAAAGATTACAAGAAAATGCCTTCTGTGGAGGCTGGTAACCCTTCGAATGGCATTGCGACACAGGACTCCCGTTATCGCCACCAACTCACTGCACAAATACGTTCCTCCCCTGGAAGAAGCTCGAGAGTGCATACGTGGAGAGGGAATACCCACGTGGATTATGACACTCTCCACTCTTGCTCCACCTTCCAACCGTCCGCTAGTCATGATTGAGCCCCTTCCTTGAGTGTTAAACCAAAACTTGCAGCGAATATACACTGCTGGTGATGAGGCATCTTGATCAGTAGGTGGCCAGATATAAACATTACTGATGTGCTTATTTTGTTTCAACAGTTGTGAAACAGCAATGGCAAAAAGATTAAGCATAGTACCCCACGCTACAATCGTGGATTGTTCGACATCGCTAGATGATAGTGTGTAGGGTCCGCTAGACCAAAGGATGCTAAGGGAAGCGGTGAACAAATAAACAATAATGATGTCGTAATAAACGATTGAATTCAGTTGAAGAGAGATATTGATGGAGAACGTGATGCGCAGATCAATGTAGAACGAAAAGAGACAACTTCTAAGAAAGGAAATCTCACAGTAACGATTCAATGTAGATAAAGAGAGGCAATGCAGTGATCACAAGCACCGGCGTTATTGTTGTCATTTGCTTGAAATACGGCCCTACAAGTGGTACCTACTATACTGGTTAGTCAGTTCCCGAGAGATTGATTGAATCAAGTGATCCTTGCAAAGGTTTCTAGACTTTTGACAAAGTATATCAGACGTAGAAAATGAACTATTACCTCTATACTGACTTCGTATTCACTCTCACCGTGAATACTTCCGTAGAGGCCAAAACCGACGACATAAATCTTCCGATCGACTTTGAATCTGAAGAAGAAAGTACTGAAAATGGATTATACGAGAACTCAACTGCACCAGTTAAAAAGGCATGATAAGAGGTGAAGACATATGAACTATGGTAGAATGAAGTAAACTTTGCACTGAGAGTCCCAATATGGGTTGCGAGATTCGGAGGGAAAATTAACAACCACAAAACTGTTCACACTGAAGAATAACGAAGAAGTGTGCGGTTAATTTAGCTGAGTTTACACCAAATGTTTTCCGATATGTCAATGCTTGCCTTTAATAAAAGAACACATTAATTTACAAGTTGATAAAACAGCTGTGATCACGGCGGTAGCCCTTTTTGCACATAATGGCTTCATAAGTAAGCACTCCTCTTTTTAGGGTTCAGCTTTACAGTAAGTTCTGCTTGAACTGGGTAAAAGGTTAATGGTAACATTCACCAAATCTAACTAGTTTAAAAGAATCTCTCAAAACAACAAAGGGCGGTTCGGAGTCCCGGATAGAGAAGAAATCAGACACATTCATTAAATTTTGAAATCAAATAGAAACCATTTAAGTATTTGTCGTTAATCACAAAGAAACATGTGAAGCCGATAAACAATACCTTAGCAAAAATAAGGTGAGCATATGACGGAGGAGTAGTACCTGATGCGATCACTAGTTCCTCGGTAATCCCAGCGTTGGTCAACCACCCCAAAGCGTCGCACAGCCTCCTCTACGCCATGCAGAAAACATCGAGGTCGCTTGAGAAAGGGTAATTCTGGCTTGGCAGTTTTGGAGGCGATAAAATGCTGAAAGATTTTAATCGTCATCGAGTCCTCCAGCACGCCGGAGGGAACAACCACATCAGCAAACTCCTCGATGCTCATCTGTGGGAATCGAACATGGGGTAAGAGAGGTTGGAGAATTGTACGAAGCTCCTCGATGGGCACATCTGAAAGACTCGGAAGGGTTGTCACAGAGGCAGAGCGAGAGAGAACGGTTGAGGGGTTGGTATCCGTTGACAAGGTATCGCCGGTGACCAAGCAGTGGGAGGGAGAGAGTCCTCCTTCTAAACACCGCCGATGGTACTCCGATTTTGCCCAGTTTATCACAGACACGAAAAGCCGAACCTCACGAATACAAAGAGTGTCACGCTCAAGAATGCTGCACAGCAGATCTTTATCTGCCGCTAAGAAGTCGTCGGTATCGAAAACTTTGGCCGTATTTTTGTCGATGACCTGCGTGGAATTGGACAACCAATTTTTCCTGCATCATAACACTGCGAGTAAGGGTTAAGGCATTTTTTGCAAGCATATTTGAATAGGCAAGCAGTGCTATGTGATGACAAAAAGAAATGTGATGGATAAGTTATAAAATATAATTAATGAAATGAAAATACTTAGTGCCGCTTATATGAGTACATGGTTGAAATATTTTAGAGGACGAAAGAGCGAATAAGTAATAAAATCAAGTAGCTATTAATGAAGGAATAGATCTATTTTGTTGCTTAAGTTTCCGTTATGCTTACATTAGCAATAAACAAAGGAATGCAGCAATTAGTCGCATTGTCGATGAATGGAAGAGATATGAAAAAAACCAACAGGAAATAGACATCCAAGGCGCTAACAGTGACATACGAATGCGGAAAGCGACTAAGGGGCGGAAAACATGCCTATATTTTTAAGCATCATAGTTCAGGTACTTCAACGCTAAAGTTTGCTGAGTGGAACCAAAATGCATATAAGCATTGGTTCATCAAAGGAAACCCACCTCCAGACATTTTTGCGCCAATTCGTGTTCATCGAAGAAGTTAGCTTGGCCAAGAAGCATGAAAGCATTGTCCACAGTAATCGCTTGACTTAAGAAATCAACACAAGCCCTCTCCATTACAGTAATTGCATACTTTTTGGCAACATAGAGAGTCTGCAGAACATTGCTGGGATCTATTTGTATTTCATCGGTGTAGATGAAACGCAGAACGTTTGCGAAGGCCACTGGATTGACATCATCCAAATGTATCTCTAAAGCCGAAAGCCTCACTTACAAATAAACGAAGATTCTGTTAAAAAACGTACTTTCGATACATTATTGAGTAAAACATTGGACATCAAAGTAGAGTTCAGTGTTTGAAAAATTCGCATAGAAGTAGGGCCAAATAACCCAATAAGTGCTGTGGTTTACCAAATATCATTATAGAAAAATAGGATTGCAAGGAGGTAAGTAGAGAGGACAATATTTCGCGATTTTAGGTTTATTAACATACCTATGGGGCTGTTAGGGGTAATCTGACTAGGTGAAGGATTGAAAATCATGGGCTGAAGGTGCGCCTCTTTCGCGATATCAGATGAAATGACATCACCCACGGAATCAACATGCATACGTTCAGAGGGCTGAAGGGTGGATGTGATAGCAGAAGGCGGCCAGGAGGTCTGCTTAGGTATGGATTGTCCAAGATACTTTGGTGATTTATGATTCAAATCCCTGGATACAGTGACAGCGGATCCCGTGTTTTGCACTGATAATGGCCCGTAAAACATGGCCTCGAAGACAGCCGAACTGATGGCTAAGATGAAGGCGTGTGCAGGGATGCGTTGCACCATGACCTCAGTAACAACAGAGGATTGACTTTGTGAGCTCTTCAGATGAATAGATGGCGTTGAAGCGCCATCACAGCCCGGTTGATAGTGAATATTGAAATACACGTCTGCCAAGGTGGTGTTAGCGAATAGACTTCGGACACGCTCACTCACACAGGACCGAGTAGATTGCCAATCAAAATGTAGAGGTGAGGGCGCGAGAAGCTTAAAAGCGAGATGTGGAAGTCTTAGCTCGCTTTTACTAATACGATTAAACGCAAATAAAGCTAACTCATTCCGGTACAGCCTGGATACCATCAATATTAGCGATGAAAAAAGGAAAAATTCAATCTTAAAACCAGAAATCGTCAAAATACAGGAAGGCAGTAAAAAAATTTGACCCCACAAAATATAAATGCACGCTAGAGGCACAGATGAAAGGCGAAACACATGAATATCACTCACGCCCGAGGAATTGATAAAATTTTCATTCAAAAGAGAAGGAGACCTCTGGCGATTTTTTGCAGCGGCTATGTTTTTAGCAGGTGACTCTCCATCAGTGGAACTTGAGGCCAGGTATCCTGGGTTCTCAATAGACATCGTAAAAGCACGTAATAGATCTGTAGTAAGGGTACAACACAGGTCAGAGAATGTTATTTATCTAGATATTACATCCAAGTTGTTGATTTTGACTATATTATGGGGCTCTACTTGAAGAGGAATAATGTTCACTCTCTTAAAAATATACAGCTGATAAAAAGCAAACATTATTTACAAAAACAACGGTACAATGCTTTGGGAAATACTTATAGGTGTGTTATACCAGGAACAACAGATCCAGGATGCTAAAAAAGTCCAATTGCAAAGAATTTATGGTAAAATAAAAAGTAAACTCGAGAAAAAGACCCGAAAACAAGGTATTTAAGCGAGAAGTAGCACCGAGCGGTCAAAAACGGTAGAAAATGTCGAACAACGCGGGTAAATAGGGAGACGATAAACGCCAGTAATTTACGAAGGGGATGCACGCCATTTGCATGCAGTTGCGCTTCTAGCTTATGGACAATTTGCTGTAACTTAATCGGGCGAAACGGCACAGAGTGCAATGCCTAAAAGGGTTTTAGATTTTTAGTAATTATTGCCAAAAAAGCATCAACACTATGGAATAGTAAAGGCTTTCACAAATACAACAGAAGATAAAGGCAGTAACAACAAGTGACAACGACCAGTTGTATTTCGCAGTTCAAGCGAAGCAGTGAGTACCTTTTAATTTCATATAATTCTGCACTGTGTAAGGGCTCTTTATGAAAAGTTTCAAAAGTTATGTTAATTGTAGATCTTAAGTTAATAATCGTAACAATGCAAACAGTTGCGTTAATCCCGACTTCACATCAACATCAAACTCATTCGAATTCCAGGAGTAAGCCAGAGATCAGTGCAAGATTTTCCCAATCCTTGTACGCGTGGGCTGCGTAGTGCTTTGTTTATGCGACTACCGGACGTTTGGCGGTGCCGATAAACGTAGGGTGGCGCTCGGGCCACTCTCAGGCCCCATTTACCCTGTCGTCTTCGGCATACATGTATTCAAACTCACTTATGCCTTCTTTCACCCTATGGGAAGCCTCGGGACGCTACAGGCTGGCTTTTGATCCATGCTCAGACCTGGTTATTTTTTCTCCTTAGAATGCATGTATTCAGCTTCACTTATTTTTCCCACGAGGTGAAAAGTTTCTGGATGCTACATTGCCCAACACTTTGTGCACTTCTACTGTACTATGATAAAGTAGTTTGCATGCTTGTCAGCATCGGCAGCAACTAATTCAGCGATCATATTTTCGGCAAAAGAAACTTTTTCTCTTGTGGCGTTTCGAGGCATTTCATGTGGTGGACGAAGGCATAAAGTGAGGCTGGATACATGTATTCCGAAGAGAACAGAGCAAATTGGCCTGAGCATGGCCCAAAGGCCAGCCCTCGAGTGCAAGCGCTAGACAAATCCTCAAGTAACCGCCGAATGTCAGGTAGTCATATAAACAAAGCATTACATTACAGTAAATTCCTCTCCAGTGTTTAGATTGGTGCAGTGCTCTTTACAAACAAAAGGATTGGAAATGGTAAAACAAGGGGAAAACGAGCCTAGCTGTAACACTTTGGTATGCGACTTGGTCCTGTGTGCATAAGCGGGCCTTTGGTCCAGACCAATTTTCCAGCCATGCATGCATCCTCCTTCTTCCACGTAATGAGAAGTCTCGAGCCCCACGCTAGTGGCAGCGGAGTGCAGATCCGACTTTTATCCTAGTATCTGCTGCTTGTGATTTGCCCCTACGGTGTGGGGAGGAGCATTTAATTCGAGCTAAGATTCTATGGTTTCTTTACAGCAGAATAGTTGGCAATGATGTCTGCGTTTAGCTTCACCTCATCGCCGTGCTTTACGGACAAGCCATTAAAATCTGAAGTGACATCAGAAACACCGTAAACTATCCGATAAAGATCCGCATCGGAAGCCTCCTTACTGCATCCTCTTATAGGTTTCGCAAATGACACTGCTCCAAACTCCCCTACGTACGGGACTGTGTCTGATCCCATCCTCCTTGCTGAACACCTGTTTTAGACTAATATTCCAACTTCTTGTCCCAGACGCGGTTGATGGTCAGTAGAGTTATGTGGCTCAGATTCTGACTGTCAGGCTGAAAGTAACTCCAAATCCAGCTGAAGCTACTGAGGTGATCGAGTGTTGTTCATCAGTCCCAGGTTGCCTAAGTATTGGCGCGACTGACTTGTGGGTGAATCCTCGTGGCACTGGATATGCTATAATGGCTAACGCGGGATGTGTGCCGAGGGGCGCCGAGGACGTAGCTCATAAGAGGAGGAGGGCAGTGTTACAATTTGTTTGTGGGACCACCTGATATCTAGCGGTCGCTTTGATGTTTATCTTGTCCATGCTCGTGTGGGGTGGACTTCGAGTCAATCCGAGGCCAATTCTTCCTTTTTTCCATAATTACATGCATTGATTTAACTTATTGCCTTTTTCTACCTCGTTGGAGGTCTTGAATCTTTTCTTAAATACCGATCAAGTACAATTTTTAGCTGTTTGCCCTGATACTCACTTTTATTAATTATGTTTAAAAGTAATTCGGAACGCTTTGCTTGCTTAAGGTTTCAACGGTTTTAGTTCAGTTATAGGGCTTATTCGTAATGAGATGACTGGGGGGTGTTGCAAGGTCCTACCACTTGATTTATTTATGTTGTTTAGTTTGGCACCGCGCTACTTGGCCTTTTTGTTGTGGTAAGAGGATTCGGTGATCTCCCTTGGTCCTCCTTCCTGGTACCCAGTTTTACGACAGCTCTTGTGTGCATGAATTTTTATCGTTTCTGCGTAATTTGGATTGTTTGCACTGTGAATTCATGCTGTGCTTATTTGGTGTTTTAACTATTGGATAAAATGCATAAATGTTTGGTGCACGCACTAAATGATCGGTCTTCCATCTTTTGAAAGGTGCCTTCAAAATATCTCCTACGCATCTTTTGCCTTCGTTTATGTCTGTCTTTGATTCAAATTAACTGGAACATTTTAGTTTGCTTCGTTTTTTACTGCTTGCTTAAAAATCCTTCATTCACAGGTATCATGTCCGGTTGTCATCTTAGACAATCCTAATGTTTTGCGATGCTTTTTTAAATTTCTTTTAGGCCCCTTAAAGATGGTAAGCTTCTTCAAGTAGTGACTTTCTTAGTTTGACATCATGTTTCCTCACGTGGCGTCAACATTTTCAACCTCCTATCGTTGCTATTCTCACTCATTTACTCCTGGAAAGGCGCGCGACGACATCATGGATGGTGGAAAAAGTACCGTTTCTCATTTTTCATACCTAGACTACGTTTAGTTCTCATGCCACCATCGGCTCTCGAGCACTTAAGTAAGTTCTATGTTTTTCATCCATTTTCCTCAGCAAGACTAAACGCTCTCAATCCAATGACATTTAAACTAACTAATACCGCGGCAAATAGAAGCACTCATTGTGGTGTGCTTGAATTTGTCGCCGATGAAGGTAGAATTTACGTGCCTTATTGGATGCTGCAGAATCTCTGCCTTGAAGAGGGAGATTTGGTTCATGTGGAGAGTGTCGTCTTGCCTGTTGCCACTTTTGCCAAGTTTCAACCACAATCCGTATCCTTTCTCGACATATCCAATCCAAAAGCTGTGTATGTGCAGCATTTTTATTAGTGTCGATTGCTTCTGATAAGGCAACGGCTTGATATTGTCGCTCTAATCATGCCGTGATTCTTGATTAACTAACTTAAAACCTTATGGTTTTCCTTGTATGGATTTTTTGTTTCCTCTTTAAGTAGTATCAACAAATTTAGGGTTAAAGCAGTAGTTTTCTTGACGCTTATTCGGTCTGCTCTTGTTTGGCACACAAATCAGCTGTATGTTGAACTTGCTTTGTCTAGGTATGCTAGTTAGGCTGACCGGTATGGTTTGTAATCGCTTTTTCCCATTTTGTAAATTGAAATGCTAAAATTATGTTCAGTTCATGTAGCTGCTTCTTTATTCCATTGGGATGGGAGTACACACTGAGTTCCACATACGATTTAGGATGTTTACACTTCATACCCATTCAATTGCCCCAAATGTGGTGACTGAGCAAAATCAAGCAGGTTTTCTGATGTACTAGCGTCAACCAAATTCACTACTAAATGCCCTGCTTCTTTGCAGCTTGGAATACGCGTTGCGTAAATTTGCTTGCCTCACGGTGGGCGATACGCTTGCGATTACCTATAACGATACTATGTATGAACTCAAAGTCCTAGAATTGCAGCCAAAGAATGCCGTTCGAATCATCGAGTGCGACATGAGTGTAAGAGTTTCGTTCCTGGTTTTCTTTACCATTAACAACTGTTTGCATTTTGCTTCTTGATTAGCTGCTATCTCATTGTTTGTCAATGCAGAAGGATTTCGATTTCCCTATTTGTTTCTCCTAGAGTAGACGATGAACCATTGGTGGTATCTCTTATATGAAGTCAATAGTATCTTGATGTCTTCTTTATTTTAAATTCAAAAGTTTACTTCATTGGATCCACTCATCCTAACTGTTACAGCAAGCCTAACTGATTTCCCACTTCCTAGGTTGACTTTGCTCCACCTTTGGGGTTTGAGGAGAGTCGGGGACCCAAGGAAAATACATTACCTCCTTCAGAGGTGCAGTCTTTTCTTTCCTTATTTCCATTTATCCTTTGACTAGGTAACAATTTCTCAGTATTGTTTTGGTCGTTATTCTTTAGGAGGACAATGAAGCTCTCATTCCGGAGCAGGTCAAAGGATTGAGAGTATGCTGTTTTTTCTGCTATATTCTCTTCTTTGCTTGCACTTAACTTTTTAGTAGAGCATGTTTGGAAGACTTTGACACCAAAGATTCCTGTCCAATGATCTGGTATTCTATAATCAGTATTCCAAAACGCTGATTAAGACTCGTGCCTACTGTTTGAAGCCTCGTCGTTAAACCTGCTTTTGTTTGCTAAATATCCCTTTTTTTAAGGTTTTCGGCGGTATGGGCTGTAGACTGGATGGTCGGAGTTGTGAGTCCAATGCAGGCACATTAACATCTGCGGGTCAAGTCATCGCACAACGGTTAGCTTATCTCTCGTTTTTGCAAAGCGAAATCCTTTTCTGTTATACCTGTAATCTCTGTCACGCATTTAACCTCACTTTTCTGTTTGGTGTTAGTCGGTGCTTAGTTGAACGCATAGTTAAACTTTACGTAAGGCACAGTTTGGTTATAGTATTACAAAATGAGCTTTTCTGTCGAAAATAACGTTTTGATCACATTAATCCCTTGTTTTGGTCAGAAATTCGGTTTATCGTATGCAGTGGGACCCTCCCACCGGTAGCGTTTGAACTTAGTATCATTCTCACCTAGATAGTAAGTAGCTGCTTTAATTTTTGTCAGCTCTGTTTTAGATACTTGTTATTAAATGTGCGATCGTTTTTCAGGGGAGTGCCGAACTTTGACTACCAGCCGGGTAGTCTTACCTTCCTGCGAATAAATAAAAAGAAAGCAGACGTATGTGAAGTTTCATTCTCATTTTTCTGCTACCAGCATTCTTTCCAAGATGTTCTGTTAGATTTACAACACATTTCCTGACGCTCGTGTCAGTCGAATGTAGGAAATATCCAATTTGAATGCGTCTTGAGTTCACCCGCTTTGGTAGTTGCCTGACTTATAGTAACTAAAATAGTAATTTTACTCATATGACTTTAGTAGCATAAAATTGCGGACCGCAACTATTACCTAATTTTAGGATGATGCAGATGGTTTCTTCAAACCATTTCATGGGGAAGGGGTGAGGCTCAAGCATGACGCCAAGAAATCCTCTTGAACTTGGTCGGGTGATGATTTACTGTAACCTTCTCTTGTTTTTGGTTCGCCCTCTGGAATAAAGTCGTTATTTTTTAGTCTTGCTCCCAATGAATTGGGACTCGTTATTTTTCATCGTAGCTTGGGCAGTTTATGATCAAGTAGATGTCTAGAGGCCCCAACATTGCGTTATACAGTTTTACCTGATTGGTTGTGAATGTTTGGAGTTGTAATGTAGTTTTACCAGTAAACTGATCTTGCCAGTGGCTCAATTTGTTACTTGCTGAGTTGTGTGGATTTTGCAGGATTTGGCCTATCAGGTTCTGTTGATTCTTCAGTCTGGTTCGTGTTAAGCTTCAGGATGATGACGGGGGAAATTTCCCAATCCGAGTGTGAGTAGGATGCCATCAGATCATGTTAGTGGTCATTGTTATGTAGGCGGAGTTGCTGACCTTTGGAGCAATCGATTTGCTGCCAAGTAAGGTACTTTGTTGCTTGCATCTCTCGATTGTTCACCTTTGACTTGTGAACAAAATTGTCTAGTTATTAAACAACGGGGTTACTTAAATCCATATTTTTAGTGCTTATCAAGAGGTAGCAGCTAGAACACGGTGGTGGTGTCGTGAATCTGCGAAGCGCTTACTATTTGGCTTGTTACACATTTACCATCTAGCATACTAAGTTTAGGTCGTCGTACTTAAAAATGCTTTCATTGCTTGGTGAATCCGTAAACGGGTAACATCTTGAAAGCCAGTGGATGGGTTCATTGGTGCCTAATAATTTGTGGTAGATTAAGATGCAATTTTAAAACGATGGGATGCTGTAATCCTGGAGTGGTCTGGCAGGATGATCGGACATTCTTCTTGAACAATGCTTGCAGTATAAAGATGGAGTCATTTGTCTCTGTCTCTTATGTCTTACAATAGTGAGTAACTCGCTTCATTTATCAAAAAGTTGAATTGATGAAGGGTGGTTTTTTTCATAGCCTTCCGTTCAGATGTGTAACTATAGTTAAAGGTAAAGTCGCGT